GGAAAGCCTTTGATATCTGTCTGTTTGTCTTCTTGAAGGAGACAGAGGCAAAGACTTGGTTATCTCGTGTTTCTTCAATAAAGGTCACTCTAATATCTTTCAGAGTTATTGTCTGAATCCCGATATACATGCTAAAAGGTACAACTTCTTTAAGTTTTGTCAATGAGTGTATATGCAACATAAAGTTTCGGGAAGATGATATTCATGTACCAAAGAGGCATCCCTTCTTTTAATTATAATTAGAGATTAAGATTCAGTTTTCTTATACTACAGTAAATAAAGTACCTTTGGGTATGACGTTCTCAGTTTTTATTTGCGTTCAATGTGTTTTTCGTACCGCTTATATGGACTGATGTACCACATTGTGGCCTAAATATGTATATATTATACTAGCCGAATGACCCGGGCAACGCCCGTGTTTTACCCGACTGTAGATGTTACAACGGTGATCCTTAGGTCGCTGGTTCAAATCCGGCTCGAGGGAGCCGGCGAGCACGTGACCGACCTCCCTGTGCGCGCGCATCCGTGACAGAGGCGGCCGGCCGATGAGGAAAGACGGTCGTGACTATATATATTAATATCTAAAAATTGATGAGATACATAAAAATTAACATTATATTCGTGATCAGCACCTCAAATATTAAGTCAGAAACTGATGCATTATCAAAAACATTTTTCAGTGTAGACCAGTGTTATGCATTAGAAAACAATGTATTATGTTTGTCATCACAGTAAAAAACTTGACGTTGAGGATAAGGAATGAGTTAAAACACCATTTTTGTCAAATTGAGACAAAAAATTCAATCTTTTTTATACCTTCATGTTGAATGTTATGAAATCAAAGCCGTCCCTGAACTGATGAGAGCTAAAGCCCGAAATTATGGTATACAGGTTGGCTTTTTGTCTGAATTTTCCAAAACGGGTATTGTGGCTCAATTCTTTATCAAAACCGTAAAGTTTTTTACTGGGATGATAACACAACGTTCTGATTCATACTTAAAGGGAGATGTGCCTCTCTTTTAGTACACACACATTATAGATACTGACATGGATCTAACGTGCTTTTGCCAAGAATTCCCTTAGTCTTGAAACTTTGTCCCTAGTAGCTTCGCGTCTCTTGAGGCGTGAAGAGCAGCTTCGGGTTCGTATCGTCAATTGGAACATCGTCTTCTTGTAGGGATTATTATTTTTAAGCAAAAGAATTTGCCTACAGCAGACGGAACGTTTTATAAACAATTCAACCTAAATCTGTGCCAAAGTAATAGAAACGTACCATTCTCACATGGTCAAAATTTACCATTATACAATAAGGTGATTCCAAGTGTCAAATTCCTATGCTACACAGAATAAATAAGTCTATTATATGTAAATAGGATGGATAAATCAAATTCTGGAATCAATTTGTTTTTGTGAAAAGTACAAAGAAAATTATGAAAATTCGAAACTAATTTAGACGCGTAAGATTATTTTTGAAATTAAACAATTTCTATTTATAAATGTATGAAATTATGCTGTCCTCAAAGCTTATGTCCATAGTTCATCTAAAATACCCATTCCAAGAGTCTAACATCAGTATCACTATAAAAGGAAGATCGAAAAATCTACATATATATTTGCCTTATTCTGTCTGTTTGTTTGTCTGAAGCTCACGGATGGGAATTTTCATAACCATCGGTGGTTCAGTGGTAGAATGCTCGCCTGCCACGCGGGCGGCCCGGGTTCGATTCCCGGCCGATGCATTTTTTTTTTTTTTTTTACAATTTTCAAAACTCATTTATATATTATACAAGAATGACATCCACGGCGCCAATTTATAATTGTAACGAATAGTATTTGAATAAAAGCATTTAATCGGGTAAAACCCGGGCGTTGCCCGGGTCATTCGTATATAATAATTGTATAAACGAATGCAAGACAAAATCACCGCGAATGTTTCTTTTTTTTAAGGCAATTTCTTTTTAAGGCAATTATCGTTATTTATCGTTAATTTTTGTTTCGATTTTATTGAAAAAAAAAAACGATATGGTGCCTTTAAAAAATGATCTTTATTACTATGCAGTTTTCTATTTAGTCAATATACCTAAGTTCATGTTGCAAATGTAATTATCTCTATCGATTTAGTAGGTGAAATGTAAAAAAAAAAAATCGAAATGATGAAATCTTTATGAAAATTCACATTTTTATTTTTATATTTTCAAGACACACACAGTTTGGGGCGGGACGTTTCACAAGAGAGACATCCACGGCGCCAATTTATAATTGTAACGAATAGTATTTTAATTAAAACATTTTTAAAACACACAGTTTGGAACGGGACGTTTCACAAGAGTGACATCCATGGCGCCAATTTATAATTGTAACGAATAGTATTTGAATTAAACACAAGGTAATAAGACCAAATCCAAATAAATAAATAGTGTGTGACGTTTCGGTAACAGCGTTGTTACCATCTTCAGACAAAAGTACTGAATGAGAGAATTTTACCACAGCATGCTTTTAAATAGTTCCTGTTATCAAGTGTGTAAACAAGATAACAGATAAGAAGATATTTATCTGATTAATATTCTTAGAATTAAAAGTTTTTTCAAATATAATTAAAAGCATATCTATAAATATCATTTATATTTCCTCTTTCTTCCATTCTGTTAATTGTAGCACATTTCTTTTGAATGAAAAATGCTTCTTTAAATTGTCTCTTAAAATAATTTTTCTCATAATCTAGTATCTTTGTTTCTTTTAGGTTAAAATTATTATGTCCTGTGATTTTTCTATGTTCTACAAGTGCAGAATTCTCAATTTTATCCCATTTCAGAGCATATTCATGGTTTTTCATTCTTTCTTTTAAAGTTCTGGATGTTTGTCCTACATAACATTGGTCACATTTTTCACATTTCACTTCATAAATTAAACCTGCTCTATTTGGTATGTGAGTGTTCTTATGGTTGTTGATATATTGAGAGATAGGGTTACATGGTTTCCATGCAATGTTTATTTTTTCATACTTTTTGAATATATTAGTCAAATTTCTTGCAAACTTTTGATTTATAAATGGCAATGTGATAAATTTGGCTTCTTTGTTTTTGCACTTTAGATTTTGAATTAAAGTATTATTCTCATATTTTTGGTTCATGTCTTCTATTATTCTATCTATCAATTTGATGGGAAAATCTTCATTGATTAGTTCTTTTTTGATGTTGTTAATTTCTATATTTCTTTTAGTTGTATCATTAATGAGTGTAAAAGCTCTATATATAAGAGCTTTTACTAATCCTACTTTTTGGCTGAAATGGTGTTGTGAGCTAAAGTTCCAATAAGTTCCTGTATGTGTTGGTTTTTTGTATATAGAGGTTGTAATGTTGTTATTGTTGTATGATAAGTTCATGTCCAGGAAATTTATTGATTTGTTGTTATCTACTTCCATAGAGTAATTGATATCGGGCAATAGATTGTTGAAAGTATCCAAAATTTTTTGTTCACTTCCCTGATTAATAAATAAAAAGGAGTCATCCACATATCTTTTAAAATAATAAACATCATTTTTAAGTGAATTTAGAGCTTTTATTTCTAATTGGCCTATAGTAATACAAGCTGCGTTTGGTGATATTGGACTACCCATTGTTGCACCTTTCATTTGGAGATATATTCAAAAAGTATGAAAAAATAAACATTGCATGGAAACCATGTAACCCTATCTCTCAATATATCAACAACCATAAGAACACTCACATACCAAATAGAGCAGGTTTAATTTATGAAGTGAAATGTGAAAAATGTGACCAATGTTATGTAGGACAAACATCCAGAACTTTAAAAGAAAGAATGAAAAACCATGAATATGCTCTGAAATGGGATAAAATTGAGAATTCTGCACTTGTAGAACATAGAAAAATCACAGGACATAATAATTTTAACCTAAAAGAAACAAAGATACTAGATTATGAGAAAAATTATTTTAAGAGACAATTTAAAGAAGCATTTTTCATTCAAAAGAAATGTGCTACAATTAACAGAATGGAAGAAAGAGGAAATATAAATGATATTTATAGATATGCTTTTAATTATATTTGAAAAAACTTTTAATTCTAAGAATATTAATCAGCAGGTGTTTACCCATCTGTTTATCAGATAAATATCTTCTTATCTGTTATCTTGTTTACACACTTGATAACAGGAACTATTTAAAAGCATGCTGTGGTAAAATTCTCTCATTCAGTACTTTTGTCTGAAGATGGTAACAACGCTGTTACCGAAACGTCACACACTATTTATTTATTTGGATTTGGTCTTATTACCTTGTGTTTATAATCTACAATCCAAATTGTGCCTCATCAATAGTATTTGAATTAAAACGTTTTTAAAATATATACGCACTCTGGTAAAACCCGGGCGTTGCCCGGGCCATTCGTCTAGTGCAATATAACAGCGGTATGGTAGATTAAACTGGCGAAACCGCTGGGAAGATTCACCACTGATGAGCCAGACCCTCCCATTAATTTTTCCATTGCAGTAAGGGCAGTAGATATTGCTTAATTTCAAAAAGAATCTCACGCGTCTAAAATAGTTTCGAATTTTCATAACAGATGGCGCGCTATTGCATCATAATATAAAATAAAATTTTATATAAAACGTTTTTTTTTTTAGAATCACACACGCAAAATAATAAATTCTAAGAGTCCAACCAGCAATAATTTATTTAATATATAGTAGTTCGATGCAACTACTGAGCTAAAAAAAAAAGGTATTACACGCTGAGTGGCTAATGAACTCAACACTGATCAAGGTGTCACCTAATAGTAGAAAACCAATCAGCGGGTGAATAAAACTGGCACAGCTTATAAATATGCATATAAACATTAAGGCGTGTAGGAGCAGTCATGGCCGAGTGGTTAAGGCGTTGGACTAGAAATTCATTGGGATCTTCCATTACAGGTTCGAATCCTGTCGACTGTGTTTTTTTTAAAGGCCTGGGTTCGATTCCCGGCTTGGGAATCTTTTTGCCTACGGCCATACCACATTGAAAACACCGGTTCTCGTCCGATCATCGAAGTTAAGCAATGTCGGTCAGTACTTGGGAGGGTGACCACCTGGGTGCTGTAGGCTCTCACCGTAGCAGAGTGGCACAGTGGAAGCGTGCTGGGCCCATAACCCAGAGGTCCGTGGATCGAAACCACGCTCTGCTATTTTTTCATCCATTCTGGTTAGCATCCCCGTAAATAAAAGATATTTCCATTAAGGCGTGTATTACAGGTGTTACCTTCGAGCACAGCTTGCGAATCACATTGTCTTGGCTTAATACACGCCTTAGAGAAAATATGGTTTGTGGCCCGTAAAATCATATGGCGTGTATTAAGTCAGGACAAGGTGAGCTCGAATGTAACACCTGTAAACTGAGACAAAATAAATAAAAAAGGCCTGTATAGATAATATGACGTGTAGAATTCTTATAAAGCGAATGGTGCACGCGGAATAAATAAATTTTTATTAAAGCGTGTATTATAGTAGATAAAAATATAAGTAAGATTTAATCCTATCCAACTTGAACCAAAACCAAGCTACCACTCGTGTCCCAGTTAATAGGATTCTATCCATCCTGTGTATCTTACACCATATACATAACTGTATAACATCTTGTCTCATAAACCTTTGTAGATAGTTTTAGTAAGACATGGTAACATGTAGAGTTCGCATAAAGCGAATGGTGCACGCGGGAGAAATAGATTGTTTTGTTCTTAGAATCAAGAGATAATAAATGTTTTCATTCTCTCGGCAAAATATTTTATCCTCGTCAGAAAAAAATATTATAGCATTTAGCAAGGCATTATAAATGAATCTATATTATAAATGTATAACGAACACCTTGCTAAATGCTTTAATTTGTATCTTTTCCTGACGAGAACAAAATATTTTTGTCGAAACGTCGAGAGATTAAAAACATTTATTATCTCTTGATTCTAAGAACTATGAATGCCTACCAAGCAACCTCTATCTTAAAGATAACTGTTTGTTCTCATAGTAGATAATATTGAAGTAGCTGTAAAATCATATTTCTATAAATTCACTTTCATATTAGTAAAAACAGTTATACTACTTCATACTGGACTTTTTTTTTAAATACTGTGGTGGGGGTTCTTTAAACAGATACCACTTTGTTCATTGCTCTTTTTTTTTTGCTTATCCCTAGTACACGTGGTACAGGCCATGATAATTATGGTGGGTAGAAGTAGGCGACTGCTTTTACTGTAAGTACACCACATGATTGCTCTTCTATATTCTTTCAACCTTTTAAACCTGGTAATTTTATACGGTGCAAAATGCGAATAAATATTATTTTACAAAAATCCCACAATAACGTTTAATAAGAAACCTATACAAATCATATGGAGTTATTTTATTTATATTGCAGGTGAATCAGTCTTAGCTAAAGGGTACTGGTGTACCTGCTTAATCAGAATCTTCCAAGATGATCAATCCATAGTTGTCAACTGGTGATATTAGTATATTAGCAAAAATAGTTCCACAACCTCATACTGGACTTTTTTTGAATACTGTGATGGGAGTTCTTTGAACAGATCCCATTTTGGTCATTGCTCTTTTAGATTATTTTAACATTTTAACGTGGTCATTTTATACGGTGCAAAATGCAAATAAATATTATTAGACAAAAAATCCCACAATAACGTTGAATAAGAAACCTATACAAATCATAAATACTATAAAGTTAAGTGCCAGGAGAAAATGATTTTTTATTAATCGACTACCTTGCCAGGGGAAAATGATTTTTTATTAATCGACTACACGAGCTTTCGGGCAGTCACGCCCTTCAACTGGTAATGATTCATGATGGCAATAGGCCTTAAATAGGATTCCGTTTTTAAAGAGATATTTTTACATATGAGAAAAATAATATAGGACGGCTAAAAAGGTTTTTTTATTAGAGTTATTTATTCAGCTAAAATGTGTTTACATATGGCCTAGCAGATTCAGTTTACCTAAAGGTTGTTATACCTGAATCTACTGAAGCATCAAAAATCGCTTACGTCAATTTATCAATCAGATTTATAAAGGCTTAATAAACAAACTTTGGTCAATCCAAGTATACTTATCTTACATACAAGAACTCATACTATATATATATAGTAAGATTTTTTTTTTTCAAATAAAACATTTCCTATTGTTCTTACTGCAATGAAGATATATTGGGAGGGCCTGGCTCATCAGTGGTGAACCCTCCCAGCGGTTTCGCCACAGTTTAATCTACCATACCGATCTATCTTTAATATTGTATTAGGGTATTATGGCTATATATATATAGAGCGTATTTGAAATGTGTATAGTTGAATTATTACAAGGTTGTATTTATGAATTATATAATGATATAGTCGGTTTATATTTAAAAAAAAGATGCATATATTGGATTTATAATTATTTTATTGTTCCAATATGTCGAGGTGCAACTCGCCTCTCTTTATCGAGGATGTTTGTTTACATATGAGCAAGCGTACACCACTCTCGTTCTACAATGTATAGTTTCAAAATTTTGTTTCTCGCACACAAAGAATGTAATATATATTATCTCTTTCTCAATATGATAAATATTTAAAATATGTAAATAATAATTTGTATATAAAAATAGTATATATCATCAATTTATTAATGTGATATTCATATTGAAGGACTCTGACAAGTCCGAAAGCTGGAAAATAAAAAGTTTCACTCTCGTTCTACGAAGTCAATGAAAGAATTGTATCTTTGATTTAAATATTACATTCAGTATATATGAAAATTGCAATTATATCGCGAATGTTTCTTTTAAACAAAAATCGAAATTTATTTTAAAGAGAAATAGCGATTATTTCTAACTTTAAGGATGAAGTATGATAGGAGATGAATTATGAAGAGTAATGACAAACGGAAAAATAAAAGTGTCCAGGGATGGGAATCGAACCCACTGTGTTCAGCTTACCGGGCAGATGCCATGTCCACTAGGCTACCCTGGACATATTTCTCCGTTCGTAAATATTATATAAAGTAATTTAAAATACAATATAACGCGGCTGATGATTGTAAAACGAAAATTGCAATTATATCGCGAATGTTTCTTTTAAACAAAAATCGAAATTTATTTTTAAGGAGAAATAACGATTATTTCTAATCTTAAGGATGAAGGATGAATTGTGAAGAGTAATGATAAACGGGAAATAATTCCCATCCCTGTGTGTGGGTGTGTGTGTGTGTGTGTGTGTGTGGACACTTTTTCGCATGGCCCCTGCGCAAGGATGACACTTTTATTTTTCCGTTTGTCATTACTCTTCACAATTCATCCTATCATACTTCATCCTTAAAGTTAGGAATAATCGCTATTTCTCTTTAAAATAAATTTCGATTTTTGTTTAAAAGAAACATTCGCGATATAATTGCAATTTTCGTTTTACAATCATCAGCCGCGTTATATTGCATTTTATATACAGCTAATAATTATATATAATATTGTTTGATTAACACAATTATTATTATTTTATTTACATATTGTGCATGAGATTTATATGTAACAGTGTAATCTACTTATATATTTGCCTTATTCTGTCTGTTTGTTTGTCTGTCTGAAGCTCACGGATGGGATTTTTCATAACCATCGGTGGTTCAGTGGTAGAATGCTCGCCTGCCACGCGGGCGGCCCGGGTTCGATTCCCGGCCGATGCATTTTTTTTTTTTACAATTTTTAAAACTCATTTATATATTATACAAGATCAAAGAACTTGCGCATAAAATTAAATCCAAAAGACAAAAAACCTCTCGCAATCAGTATCTTTTATTCTATATATAATAAAAGATACTGATTGCGAGAGGTTTTTTGTCTTTTGGATTTAATATATTATACAAGAATGACATCCACGGCGCCAATTTATAATTGTAACGAATAGTATTTAAATAAAAGCATTTAATCGGGTAAAACCCGGGCGTTGCCCGGGTCATTCGTATATAATAATTGTATAAACGAATGCAAGACAAAATCACCGCGAATGTTTCTTTTTTTAAGGCAATTTCTTTTTAAGGCAATTATCGTTATTTATATGGTGCCTTTAAAAAATGATCTTTATTACTATGCAGTTTTCTATTTAGTCAATATACCTAAGTTCATGTTGCAAATGTAATTATCTCTATCGATTTAGTAGGTGAAATGCAAAAAAAAAAAAAATCGACATGATGAAATCTTTATGAAAATTTTTATTTTTATATTTTCAAGACACACGCAGTTTGGGACGGGACGTTTCACAAGAGAGACATCCACGGCGCCAATTTATAATTGTAACGAATAGTATTTTAATTAAAACATTTTAAAAACACACAGTTTGGAACGGGACGTTTCACAAGAGTGACATCCATGGCGCCAATTTATAATTGTAACGAATAGTATTTGAATTAAAACGTTTTTAAAATATATACGCACTCGGGTAAAACCCGGGCGTTGCCCGGGCCATTCGTCTAGTTGTAAATAATTGCGTGATTATACATATTAATTCTAAATAAATGATAAAATTTTTAAAGCAAAATAAATGAATAAATTAAAAGTATATACATAGTTATTTGCAAAAAATTAAGATATGAATTCTCTATAAATTTCTTTATAAATTGTAGGTTCAGTTATTCTTTAAGAAAAAAAAAATAGTACAAATATGATATTTGTACTGGGATAAGGTGAATAAATTAAGATAAAGGCATCTCCTTATTGTGCAACTGAAAGTTCCTGATGGCTTTCGCCATCTGTCGTGTTGTGTTTTTTTTTTTTTTTGTTTCGGTGTTCAACTTTTGCAAAAATCAGGGGCCATTGGAGCATATTTATTTTTAATGCAATATAATATAATGCGGCTTATGATTGTAAAACGACATTTGAAATACTATCCCGCATGTGTTTCTTTTCAACAAAAAATCAAACATTATTTCAAGGAGAAATAACGATTATTTTTCCGTTTATCATTACTTTTCACAATTCACCCGTTCATACTTCATCCAAAAGGTTAAAAATAATCGTTATTTCTCCTTTAAATAAATTTTGATTTTTCGTTGAAAAGAAACACATGCGGGATAGTATTACAAATGTC